GGGATGAGAGGATTCACCAGAGGCAGAGTAGGGAACAGAACAGGCAGACTGACTGAAATACACTGCTGAGGGGAGCAGCGGGAGAGGTCTGCTGCGCCATGTGGGCAGCTCCCTGGCTGGCCAGGGATCGAACTCATACTGCAGAAGCTGCAGACAGCCTCATATTGCTGTGCTTAACCCCTTGCGCCACCAGGGAGGCCCCTGTTCCAGGGTTTTATTTTATTTTTTTAATATTTATTTATTTATTTATACAAGCACTGGGTACAGTCAGAAGCGCAAGAGGGTGAAAGAATTCACCAGAGCCAGAGCAGGGAGCAGAACACGCAGACCGATGAGATACACTGCTGAGGGGAGCCACAGGCGTGGCAGGAGAGGTCTGTCGTGCCATGTGGGACCCTCGCCGGCAGCCGGGCATCGAACCGGCGCTGCAGAGGCTGAGGGCAGCTTCGCAGCCCAGCGCTCAACCACTGCGCCACCAGGGGAGGCCCCCTGTTCCAGGGTTTTATATTGAAATATTTTTCAGACTTATAAAAGAGTGGCAAGTCCAAAGAAGCTGGTCTGTCTGCTGCTTGTGCAGACACTCCTAATGTGACTGTTTCACCACTTTTGCTCTCTTTCTGCATCTTTTCCTCAAGTATTTCGAGTCTCAACTCATAAGTTGCAGGAGTGCTGCACTTTTACCCATAAACACATCACTGCAGTCTTCCTGGAAGTGAGAACATTTTTCGTCATGACTATAGGACAGTGGTAGGAGAATGTGTGGGGTTTAAATTTTTTTTTTAATTTATTTTTGCATAGAAGAACTGGGGTGTAGGCCAGAAGTTGTGGGAGGCGGTGGGAGGATTCACCAGAGACAGAGTGGGGAGCAGAAAAGATGGATCTACTGAAATCCACTGCTGAGGGGAGCAGCAGGGAGACAGGAGAGGTCTGCTGTGCCAAGTGGGTCAGCTCCCGGGCTGGGGATCGAACTCAAGTCACAGTGGTGACAGCACTGAGACTTAATCCCTAGGCCATCAGGGAGGCTCTGCATGGGAATTTATAATTATGAGCATTTAATGGTTTTATACTTAAAAAAAATATTTATTTACAACCAAAAGGAGCAGCATAATCAAAGGGGGCTGTGTGGCAGAAGTGGACCAAAACCAGGAGCATATGGTGCAGGGGAGGAGGAGTCTGGAGGAAGTAGGGGACAAGCAAGTACCCCCAAGGCTTTCTGGAGGTGCCTCGGGACCTGACAAGTGCAGTGGAATTGATTAGCTCCTGGATTTGAAGTCTGGCTCTGCTGCCTACTAGAGGTGTGACCTTGGGCAAGTGTTCTGACTTCTCTGTGGTGTTGTGCTGAGGATTAGCTGCACATGGATAAAGCCCGAAGGAGAAGGTTAATATGCAGAAAGCGAGTGAAGAAAGGTTGTGGGAAGTTTTGCCTAGAATGCGTGGCCGAGAGAGGGGGAGGTGGAGGTCTGGAGTCTTCTCAAAACATGCCTGCAGAGAAGTGGGGAGGCAGGGCACTGGCCGAGGTACCTACCGCCGGGAGGGCGGAGGCTGGGTCTGGGGGTGTCCCATCAGAAGAGCAAGGCTGGGGAAAGGAGGATGGCGTCTCAGAGAAGGCTGGGCTGGAGGGGCGCTGGTCCCAGAACCTACCTTCCGACCGCCCCTCCTCTCCCCGTCCCCAACCTTTCCCCCAAGCCACCCCAGGATGCGGGGCCCGCCCTGTAGCCTTTTCTCTCTTCCCAGGCACCTGGCGTCCCCGCAGATCAATCGTGTTTGCGAGCTGGGGGGCCGAGGAGTTTGGGCTCATTGGCTCCACAGAATTCACGGAGGTGAGTGGGCCCCGCAGGGGAAGGGGTCGAGGGGGTTCTGGCGGCCGCTGACGCCCCTCCCCGGCAGGAGTTCTCCAGCAAGCTGCAGGGGCGCGCGGTGGCCTACATCAACGTGGACATCTCGGTCTTCGGTAGGCGGGGTGGGCTGCCCGGGGCTGCCCGGGGAGGCGGGGAGGGAGGGGCTGGAGCTCGAACGGCGTCTTCCCTGCTCCTCCCACAGCCAACGCCACCCTGAGGGCGCAGGGGACGCCCCCGGTCCAGAGCGTCATCTTCTCCGCAGCAAGACAGGTGGGAAGGGCGGGGCCGGGCGGCGGGCGGGCGGGGCCTGAGCGGCGGATGGGCGGGGCCGGGCGGCGGGCGGGCGGGGCATGAGTGGCAGGTGGGCGGGGCCGGGCGGCGGGTGGGCGGGGCCAGACGGGGCGGGGCTGGACCGGATGCTTCTGAGAGGGCCTGGGGCGTGGGACTGAGACGCGGGTGGGGCCAGGACTGTGCGGAGGCTGCATTCTCGGGTGTAAGACCCACCTGGTTGTTGGGCCAGGGGAGGGGCCACCCCGAAACTAGATTCCTCCCCCCACCAGATCCCCGCCCCGGGCGCCGAGCACCTGAGCATCTACGACAACTGGATCCGGTATTTCAACCGCAGCAGCTCGGTGTACGGCCTGGTCCCCAGGTGAGCCACGGCTGGGGCAGGTCGGTCGGGAGCCCCGGCCTGGCAGGCTGGGCCAGAGCCCCTCAGCGGGGTCCTCCTCCTTCCCGCAGCCTGGGCTCTCTGGGCGCTGGCAGCGACTATGCGCCGTTTGTTCACTACCTGGGCATCTCCTCCATGGACATCGCCTACACCTATGACCGGGTGAGCGGGCACCCCTCTGTCCCCCTCCTCAATATTCTCCTCCACCAGCCCCCCTCCTTCGGGCTGCTTGGAGCAGGCTGAATCCGGTCCCATCACTCAGTAACAACGCTGCCTCCGCCAAGTTTCTTAACCTCTCTGAGCATCCAATGATGCTCATCTACGTGGTTTCTTAAAATGTAAGATACTAATGATTGTAAAATGCACCATTGTGATCTCACCATTGGGGGGAGACACCCGCCACCAATTCCTTATAGCATGATGGTCTCTGAGAAACATCCCGATTCCAGAATTCTTAAAATGTGAAAAAATATTAATTTCAGAATTGATTAGATAACAGTATAAAACTGGCAGGATTCAGAGCACTGGTGTGAGGGTGGACTGGGATAAGGGGTACAGAGCACCCAGCCTGTGTCTCCCTGGACAATGCTCAGCCTCCTAGCCACACTGCCCCCGGGCGCTAAGCTGGCATTTGAGTCCTGTATTTGACTCCCAAGACCCAGATTCTTCCCCATGCTAGATGGAAAACTGGCACCTGCCCTGGCTCTGCTGGGTGATATCAGGTAGGGTACTTTACCTCTGTATGAAGTGGGGATTTTAGAACCAAATTCACAGATGTGGCAGTGATTGGCTTGAGATAACACCCCTACATTGTAGCTCACTGTTGGCATACCGCCTCCCACTTCCCACCCCAACCCAGTCACCGTGGGGCCTTGTTCCTGCAGAGCAAAACCTCGGCCCGGATCTACCCCACTTACCATACAGCCTTCGACACCTTTGATTACGTGGACAAATTTCTGGATCCTGGTGAGGAGGGGCCCCTGGGCCCACAGGCATCCTGAGGCGGGGGGCTGAGCTCTGACTGAGACTGAGCTCTGACTTTGTCGTCTTCCCTGCTGTCACCCCACCAGGCTTCAGCAGCCACCAGGCAGTGGCCCGGACTGCAGGGAGTGTGCTTCTTCGGCTCAGTGACAGCCTCTTCCTGCCTCTCAACGTCAGTGACTACCGCGAGACCCTCCGCAACTTCCTGCAGGCTGCCCAGGAGGAGCTCGGGGCCCTGTTGACACAGCACAACATCAGCCTGGGTAGGAACCTGCCTGAGTGGAAGCACTGGGAGCCCTGCGTTCCCAGGGCTAAGCTGCTGGCTCTTCCCCACAGTGCCCCTGGTGACGGCAACTGAGAAGTTTGAGAGGGCAGCTGAGGCCTTGGATCGACACAGATCAGAGCTGCAGATGGGCCAAGCAGAGTGAGGAAGGGCAGCGAGGGGTCTGGGAGGGTAGCCTCATGGCAGGATGCAGGCTGGCAGCTGGGCTGCTGGCCCCAGGGTGACCAGCAGGCCCTGTCACCTCTAGCCCCCTGCAGGTCCGGATGCTCAACGACCAGCTGATGCTCTTGGAACGAGCTTTCCTGAACTCAAGAGCCTTCCCAGAGGAGCGATACTACAGGTGAGCCTGGCCCAAGGCTCCTGAAGGTGCCATGGGGTGAGGATGGGCAGTGGCCACCCACATGCTGAGAATGTCAGTTTCCCTGGCCTTCGGGGCACAACCCAGCCGTTTGGGAATATGAGACTCACAGAGGGGAGGCAAGGCGAGTCAAGTCAGTCAGTGTCACTCTGGAACCAAAACCCACATCTCTTCCTACTTTGCTCTGTAAGAACCCCCCTTTCAGAGGTGGTGGGAAGTGCTTTCGTGCTTCGTTGTAAATAGGAGCTGAGCCTGTTCCCTTTCTCCTGCTAGCCATGTACTCTGGGCACCCCGCACCGGCTCCACAGCCACGTTCCCAGGCCTGGCCAACGCCTGTGCCAAGGCCAGGAACACAGGCTCTGGACCTGCAGAGTGGGCTGAGGTGCAGCGGCAGCTCAGCATTGTGGTGGCCGCCCTGGAGGGAGCAGCGGCCACCCTGACGCCTGTGGCTGACCTCTGACCCCAGCCCTCATTCTTCAGCTCTTTATCCTAATCCTTTCCCACTGTAGTCTCCCCTGATGCCCATAGAGGGTGTGACCACAATGTCCCTCAGGCTTCTGAGGCAACAGTAAGGGTTCCAGCAGTTGTGGACACTCAAGGGGAATGACAAGCCAGGATAAAAACCTCCCACTTCCTGGTTCTTGCTGGCAGAGGATGGAGAACAGAAGATGGGGGTGGGGGGGCAGCAAAACTACCAACTGTGCTTGGTAGAGGGCGGGTGAGAATGAGAGGCCCAATGCCAAGACCAGCCCTCAGGGACCTGTAGGGAAACTGAGGCCCAGGCTGGATAGGGCTCAGTCTGCAATCCTCTCCTCCCATATCCTTGTCCTAGTTCCTCCTTGCCCTCCCCCAAATAAAACAAGCCTAGCTGTTGTTCCTGCAAAACAAGTTTCTTTTATTATCTGGGAATCATGAAAAAAGAAACACGAGCTTTCTGCTTCAGTACTGGGGCTCCGGGAGGTCACACAGCCCCTCCTCATGATGGGACTTGGGTTTGTCCACACTCACATCTTCTTCCTCTGCCATGACCACCTCCTCCAGGGTGCGCCCTCCAAGCTTGCTCCCTACCAACAGCGTGCAGGCCCCAGCGGGCAGCAGTTCCCTCTCACTGTAGAGACCCCTCTGGAACACCACTCTCTCCTCTCCATCCAAGGGCAGCCCGTGGGCCTGGCACAGGTCCCGGGCCTCCTCCAACCCATCCAGGGCCAGCAGGTGCACCACAAAGTCCAGAGGCAAGGCTTGGCCCTTGGGAGTGCTCAGGGCACGAGCCAGGCGGGCCAGGGCTCCTCGCCGGGCACGGCCCACATGGCACTGCACTGCGCAGCTCTGCAGGTAGGGCAGCGCCCGGAGCAGACGGAACAGGCGTGCAGCATTGCCTTCTCGGAAGGCAGCGTCCACGGCCAGGGCCACGCGCAGGGCTGAGCAGGAACGCAGGGCGGCAGGCAGCTGCAGAACTTCGTGAAGGGCTTCCATGGAGCCTGCGTGGGTGGGAAGCAGGGATGAGCATGCAGGTCCTTCACTGGCCAGGCTCATCTGCCATCCCCGCCTCTGCCAACATCTCCCTTCCCACATCTCAGGGTTACCGCCCAGTACTGGCCACACGCCTGCCCCAGGGTGAGCCCACCTCTTCTACTCCTTCTCCCTATCAGTACCTTCCTAATAGTATTAAAGAGAGGGGGAACAGGTCCCACACATTTAACCACTAGCCTGGGCCTCATCCATAGGATTCCAAGTTTTCTGATTTCAAACCCAGACCCTTCTCTGCACCCTCGTTGCCCCACAGACTTGGGAGTTGCGGCCACACCTCCCCTCTTCCCTGTCCAACCGCGGAGTCCCTTGCTTCCAGACCACTGGTCCCCACTTCCAGAACACAGCACTGCAACCCCGGGCTGCTTTTGTAAACTGAGGCTTCTGACCCACTCGAGGGTTCTGAAGTCAACAGCATTTGTTTACAATTAAAAGGAACAGAATTTATTTGCATGCATCATCCAGCCACGGAAACGTCTCTCATACTCGTGGGCAGATGTGTTGGCTGCTTTGCTTCCCTGACTGGGGGCGGAGGTTTAACAAGTTTGAACATCACCGTCTGGGCCTACTTTCCCGCTCCAAACTCGACCCCTCCACCCAGAGGTGGGCAGAGGGTTTCCCCAGCACTTGCTCCACACGCTCAGGGGGTAAGGGCGGGGAGGAAGTAATGGTGAGGCTTTAGGGTTTCTCTTTTGTGACCGGCCTCCCCCGGCCTCCCCTGTCGACAGGAGGATCCCCGGCCCCGCCCCGTCGCCCGGGCTCGGACTCACCCAGGTTATAGAGCAAAAAGAGGCTCTGGAAAGCGGCCTGGCGGGGGTGCGGCCCGGCGCTCTGCGCGTAGCAGCGCCGAAGCGAACCGAAGCCCTCCTGCACCTGGGCCTGCAGCAGCACCGGGTCCGCGGGCCCGCCCGCCGCGTCGGGCCCGAGCCGCGCCACCACGGCCAGCAGCACGGCCAGCGCCGCCTCCAGCACCAGCGCCTTCTCGGCGTCGCCCGCGCGCTGCAGGGCCAGGTCCAAGCGCACGGCGCGCAGCCGGTCGGCCACGAAGCTGGCCACCTCGGCGCGGGACGCGTCGGCGCGCTCGGCCACGTCGCCAGCCAGGTAGCGCACGGTGGCCAGCAGCACGGCCGGCGGGCGCAGCTGGCTCGGCGGCGGTCGGCGCTGGCCCGCGGCCGGCCGGCTGTACTCCTTCACCGCGCGCTGCGGGTCGGCGCGGGGCGGGTCCCCGCGGCCGCCCGGCGTCACCTCGAAGCGGTGCAGGCGCCGCTCCTTCTCGCGCCGGGCGCGCTCGGCGGCCGGGCACATGTCCGGGCAGGTGCCCACGGGCAGCTCGCCGTCGGGCATGGGTGGGCTTCGGGCAGAGGGTGGGCTCTCGGCATGCCGGGCGCGGCGGCGGGCGCTCGCCCCATTCCTCCCGGGGCGCGCGGGGGCGGGGGCGGGGCGGGGCCGAGCCCGGCGGGGATGGGCCCCCCCCCGCCGACGTCTAGGCAACCACCCGCCCGCCCCGCCCCCGCCCCGCCCCCGCCAGCCCGCCCCGCCCCCGCGGCCCGCCAGGCCCCGCCCCGCCCCTCCGGCCCCTCCTGCCCCGCCCCGCTCCGCCCCGCCCCACCTCTCCGGCCAGTCAGGCCCCGCCCCGCCCCTCCGGCCAGCCCGGCCCCGCCCCGCCCCTCCGGCCAGCCCGGCTCCTCCCTCCCCGCCCCGTCGGTCAGCCCGGGCCCGCCCCGCCCCTCCGGCCATCCCGGCCCCTCCCCGCCCCGCCCCGCCGGTCAGCCCGGCCTCTCCCCGCCCCACCGGTCAGCTCCGCCCGGCCCCGCCTGCCTCTCTCCGGGTCAAAAGCCTCAGCGGGCCTCCCGAGATGCACCGCGCGGCAGTCTCGCGCGCTCGCCTTCCCACAATGCGCCGCGCGCACCCGGCCTCTCCCAGGACGCTCCGCGCTGCGGCCTCTCCGCGCCCGGCGGCTGTCGGGGCTCCCGGCCGGAGGGGGCGCCCGGCCTGCGGGGACCGTCTGAGCCTTCGCTCTCTTTGGAAGGCACAGCCGCGTCCTTTGGAACAATGGATACCTGCACTCTGGGTGCCCGCATCCTCCCCCTCACCCCGGACCCTGGCCCGGTCTTTCCCAGGAGACTCGAGCCCCCGCGCCCGCGGACGGTTTGCGAAAGGCCGCTCGCTTGGGGTCTGCGGGCCGGGTCTGCGCCGTCACCCCCGCAGGGCGGCAGAAAGGCGGCCGCAGCCAGTCCATGAATGAGCCTGGCTGTGTTCCACTCGCATTTTATTTTTAAATACTTAAATTCCATATAATTTTCACCTGTCACAATATTATTCTTTTGGTTTTATTCAGCCATTAAAAAAATGTAAAAACCACCCTAGCTCACGGGGCTTACACACAGGCGGCGGCTGGATTTGGCTGCGGACCCATTTGCAGACCCGGGTTCTAGGCGGGGAAAGGGCAGTTTAGTGTTGGGCGCTGCTGCTCCCACATCAAGAAAGAGGCAGGATCAAAAGTGTGAGTCCCCGACCCCACGGTGGCAGGTGCGGTCAGGGAGCCGAGAATGTATTCAAATATTTTTCTCATTCTTGGTCCAGTTCCATACAGAAAAGGCCCCTGGAATCAAGCCCAGAAGCCAGGGCCAGAAGCCAGGGCCAGAAGCCAGGGCCAGGCACCAGGGAGAGGAGAGGGGGTGACTGGCAGTGCTGGCGCTAGAGTCCAGGGAGGGTCCGCTTCCTCTCAGGGTGGGAGTTGGGACAGGTGCAGGTGCAGGATTTCCTCCGCCCGCTTCAGGTACTCAGCTGCCTTCTTCTTGACACCCTCCCGGCGAGCAGGGGACGGGTCACCTGTGGACAGAGAATGGCGCCCTTGCTGAAGTGCCTGGGCGCAGGCCCAGCCCCTTATAGGATGGGTAGGAGGCTAGGCTCATCCCTTAGGATTCACAGAGCATCAAGTGGTCTTTCCCCCGTTCCTGAAGTCAGTGCTAGTCTTCCCGTTCACAAATAAGAAAACAGCCACCAGAGTTAAAAAAAAACTGCCCGTTTACAGCTGGTCAGCCAGGCACAAGCCTGGTCCTCCAACTGCTTGTTTCTCCCTTGCCCCACCCCACCCTGCACCACCCGGAATCCAGGCTTGACCCTCCAAGCTCCAGTTCTACTCACTGGGTGCCCCCTCCAGCAGGATGTGTACCCCATCCCGGTATCCCTGCAGAGCTGCGGGGTAGGCTCCGGCCTTCTCATCCCGTAGGGCCTGGGTGATGAGCTCTGTGGCGTGGCTCAGATAGGCAGGAGTGGGCCCTGCTTCCCCATCCTCTTCCTCCTCCTGCCCTCCTGGCTCCCAAGGCTCCTGGGCCAGCCTTTCAGACTCCGCCTCCATCGCAGCCAGCTCATCAACGTGAACAGGACTGGTGCCTGCACCTTCTTCAATCAGATATGGAACACTCATGCCAGTGCTTATTGCCCTCCTGATTACAGCTGACCTATAAATCCAAGACGTCCTCCGCCAAGTCGCCCTGAACAGCACCAACCCAACCACACCTGGTCAAGGATGGCCTTGGGAATCGTAGGACAATGAGTTTGAGACTCTCAGGGCTTTTTTTGAGGTCTTAAAATTTCAGATAAGGCCCCAAATGTGAAGACAGACGTATCTTCAAATTCCAGAGAGAAGGGTTTCTTGTATCCCCTAGTGCTGGCAACACAGGAAGGTGAGAGATTTGGTGTCTCTTTGGGGAAAGCTCTTTGGGGGGGGAAGGGGCAGGAGTAGGAAGCAGCATGGCCCTCCACTGTCCTGGAGAGGGAAGGGTGGGCATCCCTCCACTCCCACTGAGAGCCCCCATGAGGAGACCAGGGCCTCCCAGCTCCACCTGTAGTACTCCGTGTGTGGCTGGTGGAGCAGGAGGCAGGAGGGTTCCTGGGATACCCTAATACTGGAGTTGGAGATTCTGGTATATATGCTGAAAAGAGATGAGTACAGGCCCCTCACCTGGAGAATTCTGGTGGTGCCCACACTGGAGCTGCTCACATTGGCAGGGCAAGCAGTTGAGCAGCAGCTAAATAAAATGCTATACCAGGTCTTGTGGGGACCAGAGTTTAGGGGTTTTCCCATAGATGGAGAAGATGTCTCATGGGAACCACCTTGACAGGTTCCTGCCCAAGCAGCTACCACAGGAACCCTAGGGGGCTAAGGGGGGCAAGTCAGAGTATATGGATGCCCACCTCTCCCCTCCAGTCCCCTCTTCCTCTCTGATCCTGCAGGGACTAAGGGGGTGGAGGAGGGAGCAGCACAAGCAGAGCAAGGGGACACTCCTCACACCCCAGTCACCTCAGCCAGGCCACCAGTCATGCCTGACGGGGCAGGGGGTGAGGCTGAAAACTGGATGAGAGACGAGGGTCCTGGCTGAGATGGGACCACTTGAGATGGGAACTCAAATGCCTGAAACCGACCAGAAAGCAAAGGGTCTGCCCGGGAGGTGGGCGACAAAAACGTTCAAGGAATCAAAAATGAAACTGTTTCATCACAATTCTGGCCACTTGCACACCCCAGCTGCAGTAACAGCATAACTCAGAGACTTCCAGAATGAAAAGACCTGGTGCCTCTCTCTGGGACGGTGGGGTCCCTGGGCCTCAGAGCCAGGCGCGCAGGACCTGGCCCTCTGTGGGGAGCCTTCCGTCTCTGGGGAGCAGCTGCTCCCGGGATCCTCTGCTGCTCTTGAGCCCAGGCCTGCCCCTTGGCCCAGACCTGCCGGCCCTCAGGCTTCTAGAAAGGCATGGCCACCCCTGCTGGGTGCAGAGAGCTCGGGAGAAAGCCCATCATTGGGGGTGGCTCACTCCTTTCTCCGAGGTTGCTCCCTCAGGCTGCCAGTGGCCTGCAGGGGGCGCTCTCTGCCAGATACAGGCAACACACCCGCCAGGTGATGGCTCTGCCAGTCTCCCTGCTCCTCTGGGCCCAGCTTGTTACCTTCCTTGGAGAAAGGGTCAAAGAGGGCGAGCTCAGCCTCGGTGAGGGGGCCGCGGGCAGGGGAACTGGATGCTTCCTCGGTGCTCCCATAGTTAAAGAGCAGGTCCAGGGCCTCCTGGGCAGGGCTGGATGGTGGGGGGTCTGCTGCAGAATAGATCACAGGGGACATTCATAACTGCCCTGATCATTTCCAGGCTTTCAAGATGGAAAGACCCCTCCCTAAATCTTTGCAGCAGGCATGCGCAGAGACAGGCCCGTTGCTAGGGTTTGTGCCCAGATTAAGAAGCTACAGCTGAGGAACGACGGGACGGATGCCTCAGCTGCTTGGTGGGAGAGGAGCTGGGACACACCCTGGGCTTTTTACCAAGATCACCGCCTTGGGCCCTCCAGCCCTGGCTCCTCCGTGCACCCCAATGTACCTGGCACCTCCAACTCCTCGAGGCCCCTCCTCTCTGCAGGGAGCGGCTGGGGCAACCGGGGATCATCCAAGGGTGGTGTGGGGATGAGAGGGGGTGGCAGGATGTGCAGGTCCCTGGGCACCTCAGAGGGCCGGGTCACCTCCCCACCCTGTGGGAGACATCAGCCAAGGGGGGTCACAGTTTGCAGCCTGGTGGGCAGGTAAGCTTCCCAGGTCCTGCGGGAGGAAGAGCGGGTACACATACCCGAAAGAACTCCTTGAGTTGGGGGCTGTTGTTGAGCGCAGGGATGTCCACTGTGAAACGAAGCAAGTCCTCAGCCCCCTTTCGCCGCTCCTCAATCACCGAGGCTTCGAACCGGCCTACACCCCAGGATAAGGGGAGAGAAGCAGTTACCCACGGGGCATTCTAGCCCCTAGGCCGCTTTTCCTGGCTCTGCCTCGAGGATGTGAGCAGCCGCGGGCCCCACCCCACCCCAGCCATCTGCCCCGGCCCCTTCCTAGTCATCCTTTCACCAGATGTTTACTGGGCATGTACTATGTGCTCAGTTCAGAAGCCGAATGAGAGAGAGGCAGGGTCACATCCTAGAAGTGTGGAGCGGGGAGGAGGAGGCAACCCAAAAGAAGCAAGATAAGCTCATGGCATTGATGGGATAGGAGGAAAGTAAGGCTCAGAGAGGGGACGTGACCTGCCCAAGATGACACAGCAAGTGGCATCTTTTGTAGTTGCACCGCTCTGTTCTAGGTATTGTGCAGAGGAGCCTCCTTATCTGGCCTAGTTCCCCTGCCACCAGTCAGCCTGCACCTTGCTGGGAAAGGCATCTCCGAACTGAGTACAGGTCAGCCCTGCCCCCTCGGGCCCACTGCAGGAACACTGGATCAGGAAGATGTGGGCTAGCCACACCTAGGAATACTCTTCAGCTATAAAGAGTGGCAAAATGGAGGGCATGGTCCAAAGCAAAGTTAGCTAGAAAGGTAAAGACAAATATTGGTGAGTTCACATAGAGGAGTGTAGGGTAAAGAAAATGTAAGGCTTTTCTGCCCTTCCGCCATCAGGATAGATGATGGATCCTTGTCCTGAATGCATGCCTGATGGCGGGCACCTGGAATAGGGTGTGGGCATAGGTAGATGGGATTCAGCTGAGCTGAGACTGTGCTTTTAAGGGCGGCGTCACGGGGGGACGCCAGCAGCAGAAGCAGCTGAAGCCGAAGCCGAGAAGCAGCAGAACGAACGCCAGAGAGTCCAGATAGAGTGAAGACTTGCTGGGGGCTGGAGGCCTGCCAGCCTCCCAGCCCCCCAGCCAGCACCCCTGCCTGCCATATGCCTGGTGAACCCCAATAAAAGACCTGCAAAACTACTGAGGACTCTGACTCCTCCTTTACCCAGTCTGCATGGGATCAGAAAACCCGCACTGTGGTCAGTCCTGTCCCTTACAAGGAGTAATGTAGGGGAACAAGCAGATGAACTGACAAAGCAAAACAATTATAAACCAGTGGACACTGATAATCAAACTGAGGCTTCTGAGGTTAAGAGGGAGGAGGCGTGGGCATGGGCCAAGGAGGGATCTGGGATGGTGGTGGAAAACATAGAAGAGCTAAATCAGGAGAAAAAAGCCAAGGGCCCTGCCCCAGAGAAGTATAATGCGCCTCATTTGTGATTTAAAACTTTCTGATAGCCACATTTAACATGCAAAAAGGAAAAGGTTGTTGTTTATTTTTGATTACATTAGTGTTTTTTCCCACCACCATCTCTCATCCTCCTCGGCTCTTTCTCCGTCTAACCTGTGGCCTGAGATCCCACTTGTTTATGAGTGCGTGCTAATTTATAATTATTTTGCCGTGTCTATTTATCTGCTGTGATTCCCTAATTTACTCCCTTATGGGAAAAGGTCCAATATTTGTCTATCTTTGACTTGCTTTGTTTCACGTCATTAGCACAATCTATCCAAAATATTCTCACCTGAACCTGTAACCAACGTGTAAATGAGATCGTTTACATTCATACTGAGAGCGCACTTGACCTAACTTGCAGCTTAGTCACACCTGCCAGTCTCCTCTGGTGCTGTGGGGGTCCCGGGGTCGAGGGAACACTGGCTGGTTCTGCCTCATAGAAGCCAGTCCTCTAACCCCTGGACCTCTGCATCCTCATCTTGAAAATGGGGCAAATGTGAGATGATAAAGGGCCCGACACACAATAGGGAGTCCCCATCTGTAAAATGAGGCCATCTTCCAGAGCACTTGGTGGGTGTTTGCTCACCCTATGTCCAGTCCTGTCAGCGGAGGTCCCCTGTGCCCCCCTCTCCCTGCATCTCTGGCCTGAAAAGTCCAGATCAATGCTCACCAAACACCTGCGCGCGGGGGAAGGCGGGGAACTCCTCCAGGCGCCGGAAGAGGTTGCGGTGGGTGTAGGCCAGGTCTCCGTGCAGCTTGCGGAAGTCGCTATACCGCTTCCAGACCACTACCTAAGGGGGACATAGGTTTGTCCTAGACCCGCCACTGTGAGTGGGGGCCTACCCCACCCCCAGTTCCACCCCAGGTGTGTGCCCACTGGGGTGCAGCTCCCCTTCCCCCTGGGCCAGAAAGGAAAAGCAGGGTCTGTCTGCAGAGTCACCAGCTGTTCCTTTACTGTTTCCAGGACTGGTGCCCCCTCCTTGCAGGACCCTCACCTCTTTGATATCGTCTGGGTCCCTCTTTGAGATGAACTGAGGATGAAAGAGAAGCAGGTGAGACCAGAGCCGCAAGCCTGACATCTGTGTCCCTGTAAGTCCCAGGATGCCCCGCACCTCCCAGCCCCCCTCAAGGCACTGCCCCTGGCACCTCCCAGCCCCCCTCAAGGCACTGCCCCTGGCACCTCCCAGCCCCCCTCAAGGCACTGCCCCTGGCACCTCCCAGCCCCCCTCAAGGCACTGCCCCTGGCACCTCCCAGCCCCCCTCAAGGCACTGCCCTTGGGCCAGTGGCCGCCGGTGTCCAGGCGTCCTGGCTTTAGGGCTCTGAGTGGAACTTTGCGCGCTTTCTCTACCGTGCGCCTCAGTGTCCCCAAGGGTGACAGGGGGGAGGGGGGCCCCTAAAGGCCCGTCCAGACTGTGACGTGAGATGGAGACTCAAGTTCTTGAACTGTATTGAGTTGTTGAAGCCGTCGACAAGCAGATCTTCAAAAATTAAACCCTTTAAAGGGCTTTAATGTGAAGATCAGACAAACCAATAAACAAAACAGCCAAGTGACCGGCGAAGTCACTAACATTAGGGTTGCACTAGAGTTTTCACGTTCATTTCGAGATATTCGCAGCCCAACGCCCCGACACTACCCGCTGGGGGTGGGCACCCGCACCTCGCGGGGCCGGCCATCCACGCCCTTTTAAAAGGACAGCGCCCTCCCTCGGCCCCGCCCCCTCAGGGCCAAAGAAGGAAACGACGGCACGGACCGCGCCCTCCCTTAAAGGGAAAAATGCATTTCTGTCGTCTAAAAAGGGAGCTTCTGGCGGCGCCTTGCCTTAAGGTAAAAGACGGCCCCTCTCTCGTTAAAAGGGTAAAGGCTCCCGCTGGGCCCCACCTCACCTGCGCGGTCACTTTGTACTCGGTGTAACCCTTCGGGTGGGTCCGCGGGTCGGAGACTGTGTAGTGCCGCAGGAAGTCGTCTTTAGCCTGGCGGGACATTGTAGCCGCGCTGGCGCGGAGCTGACCGCCGGCCTCAGTCTCTTCCGAGGCTCCCCCGCCCCTCGGGTCAGCCGCCGCCAGCCGCCGCCTCACTGGGCCTGCGCGCTCCGTCCTCCGGCCCAGGGAGCGGGTCGCAAGTGACAGCGCAGGTCTAGGGCCTGACGCGCGGTCTAGGGAGCGTCTAAAAAGTTCTCGTCGTCATGAAAGCGCAAACTAAGGGATTCACGAGCTCGATCTGGGAGGACGCCCCGAGCCGCCTCCCGCCCGCCCGCGGGCCGACCCGGTTCCCTTTTTCCGTGCAGCGACTCGACTTTCACTGTGCCCGATTTGTACCAAACGTGTCCTTTTCTCCCTCCATAGCATTCGCGGATTTCATGCTTTTGGAAAAGTGGGGGAAGCCAAAAGGACCCCGGAGAAGCAGGTGGCGGCGGGGGGTCGGGGTCGCACCCACTGGAGTTTCTTTCTGGAAAGAACCTGCATGAACCTGCGCCGCGGGTGCTTCTTTTTACCTTCGCGGGTCTGCGCGCTCTGGCTGGCGCTGGATCTGTGTTCCAGGCGGCTCTCGGGTGCCTGCAGCCCTGCGCCGCCGACCCCGGAGTCTCAGGTGCAGGTGCCCCTCCTCACCTGGCCCCGGGCAGGGGTCGCTCTCCTGAGACCTCGCTCGAATCTCCGCCGAGGGACGGAGGGCACACCCTGGCAGCCCCGCGGCTCTGCTCTCCAAGCCTGGCTGCCCCACCTCCATCGGGATGCCCCTCGGGTCCCTCCTTTCTTTCCAAGAAACGGCCTCTCCCCTGAAGGCGCCGCAGTCTGTGTCTGGGCCACCCGCGACTGCCCCCGCCAGGTCACAAGGCTTGTCGAGGGTCATGAGCTCCGGGCAGTCTTGTTATTGGGGCTCCAGAGGGCTGGGCTGCTGCTCCCAGTCTCCTCCGTGCCCATCGTTCCCTCCCCTCTCCTCCCTGGCCCAGCAGCTCCCAGCTCCCCTTCCCCCCTTTCCCCCCCTTCCCCCACCTCTCCAGGCCCTTTCCAATCTCAGTCCATTTAGCCCCGGGTCTTCTCCAGATCTGCTCCCCCAGTTCCATCATGAGAAGCGCCAACAGAAGAGCCGTGTCAGAAGGCAGGGGAGAGGGAGACAGCTGCTGGGCCAGCACCGCCCCCCATTCCCACAGGCTCACTTGACCATGCGATGCGGACTCTGCCACAGGGCATGCTCCCCACCCACAGGCCTTTGCGAACATAACCTTCCCATGTTCTTGTCTCAAACCATGAATAATTCACTTGTTAGATGGAGGCCCCTGCTAAAAGCCCCTAGGACTAGAGCACTGGCTGACTCACCTGGGCCTGTGAGTGGCTGTCTTCGTATTGGTTGCATCGGTTTGAGCCCCTTGTGGTTCAGCAGCGATCAGGATCGTGACCACGTATATCACACACATGCTTATCACACACCGTGACCGTGCTTATCACGCACAAGACACCAACCCATGGTCCTCATCCCAACCCTGGCAAGTAGGTGCCATCCGCCTGGCTGGGGAACTGAGGTATCAACCGAAATTTCATGCTGTGAGGTGGTCTCCCAGCATCCAGTCCCCTCTTATGACCCTAAGAGAACCCAGATTTTGCACAGGCCTCTCCCCCTCAGGAAGGAGTGCTGGTGCCAGTTCAGGAATAAATCTTGAGTCTCTTCCTCGCCTTTTCCTTGGGAAAACCACCCTCCCCTCTTCAGTCAGGCTGATCCCCATCAGTAGCATCTGCAGTCCAAGCAGAGGCAAAGGCTGAAAGCAGTTGGAAGGATGAGCGCTGGTCCAAACGCCAGCTCTCCCACTTCCTAGCTGGTTGCTTGGGCAAGTCCCATAACCTCCCGGAGGCTCAGTTCCCATGTACACGGGAGACGAACAGTCGATACTGCTTAGGCCAGTTCAACATGGGAAAGGTGGAGCCCCTTCTAAAGAACCCTTGGAGTGAGGGGTCCCTGCAGGACCACAGCAGGGGTCTGCGAAAACATCCGTCTGTCCTGCCTGGAGTGGCAGGGGGTCACCCTGGCTCCCAGCCTGGCCCTTGAAGTGTCCTAAAGCCCTCAGGGAAGGTCGCTTCCCAGCTCTGCTCCCAGTGAGCTAGCCCTCCCGCTGGCCGCGTCCTCCTCCACCTGTCCTCACTCCCAAGGCCCTTCCCTTCACTCCTCTGCGGCGTGATTCCCTCTGCTTGAACCAACGCTGCCTTGGACAGTGCACAGTTGCCCACTGCACATGGGCTGCTGGCTGCGGCGGGCAGTGGGAGCTGAAGCCCAACACGCCGTGAGCCCTGATGTGGGGCGACGTCCTTTTCTAATCCACACCTCTGAGGGTAGCAGCCACCCGGGCAACTCCCCGCCCTCTCCTTCTATCCAGAAAACCACTCGTCAGCTTTGCCGTCACATCTGGGAAGCCCACCTGAACTCTTCCAAATGGAATCAGCTGTTGCCCTGTCCTGTGGCTCCATGGCTCTTTGCCCATCCCTCTGACACAGCAGCGAGTCCCGCCGACGGTCATCACCCACTCCCCCCGGTCCCCTGCTCGACTGCAGGTGCCGGGTCATCTCTAAGCAGTTGAATCAACAAATGATCTGACCAGGAAATCAGGACAATCAGGGCCAGGGAAGGTTTATTCTCACAGCTGAGCAAAGGACAAGGCGCTCAGCCTTGGTAGCAGCAGAGGCAGCCCCTGCCCAGCCCCTGCCCTCCCCCCGGTGGTACGACAGCTGCGCGAGTCCAGGTCAGGAGCCGGGGCAGCAGCCCCCCCACCACGGGAGCTGGCCGGCCACGGAGCAGCAGGAGAGGGCGGCAGTAGCAGCAGCAGGTTACAGAGTGGGGCAGGGAGTGTTAGTGGAACCGGTGGAGGACGCCCACCCCCCCCCGTGGATGGTGCTTGGTGAAGACCTGGGGCTCTGGACTGCGAGGTGGGGCGTCTAGAGCACTTCAGTCAGTCGTGAAGATGCGGCTGGAAATGTCATCCAGGAGCCAGTCGATGCCGAGCAGCAGGTTCTCCCCGGTGAAGGCGCTGCAGCCTTGGATGCACCAGTGGTGGCTGCGGATGGAGTCCAGCTCCAGGGCCTGGGGGCGGCGAGAGGTGCCGGTGGGGCCCCGTGACCACAGGCCCTACCTGCCTGTCGCCTCTTGCCTCCCCAGGCCTGAGAGAAATCCACGCCTCCCTCTAGGTCCTGCGCGGACAGCCCCTGCCCCTCGTGGCTCCTGGTCTGTGCACTGACAAGCCAGCATTGCCCTTTAGTATTTGGAGAGCAGCACGGGCACCCGGGCCTCTGCCAGGACCCAGGCACTGTGCGCCAGGCCCGAGATGCGCTCTCATCCATTCCTCCCGGGGCCCCGCGAGCCTCGGCTGTGACGGCTATTGTACTGAGCAGGAAACTGAAGGTCAGAGAGGTTCCGGAACCTGCCTGAAGCCACACAAGCAACCAGTGGCAAAAGCAGGATTTTCACCACCTTCTTCCCCATTCTGGAGAGCAAGCTCCGGAGTAACAGTTAAGATACAGGTCCTGACCTGTGTTCGAATCCTGGCCTGTCCACTTACTAGCTGTGTGACTGTGGGACCGTGACCTCTCTAAGCTGGGGTAGGCAAGGTGTTCAGGAGGTAACTGCTGCACAGAGCCCAGCTCACAGAAGGCATGACTTGCCCTCTGGAACACTCTATCTGCAGGGCAGCCTCCCCCCACCCCCCGGGGAGGCACCGCTCCATCCTAGTCATCACTGAGTCTCCAGGGCCTGCACAGGTCCTGCCACCCAGCAGGCGCTCGCTCATAAATGCTTGTATATAAACCAACAAAGCAGGGCTGCCCCCGTCCTCTGCGCGCCTGCACCACGGCCGGCACTCACCTCGCGGATGGCGTTAGAAGACAGCGCTCCGGGCAGGTCTTGCTTGTTGGCAAAGATGAGCAGGGTCGCTCCAGCCAGGCGCTGGGGGAGAGAATGGAGGAGCAAGGGGGTGGGGGCTCAGAGGGCACCCCGGCCCCTCCTCTGCTGGCCAGAGCATTTGGGGTCCGGGTCGGCCCGGAAGAGTGGGGTCAGGCCCTGTCCTGCGGGGAGAGGCCAAGTGTGCACGTGGCCTTTCGGGCTGCTCCTCTGTGGGGCGAAGGGAGCCCCGGGCCGTGCTGAGGGCCTGGCTCCACCCAGCAGGCACTTCTCTCCTCAGTTTCTTTCCTCTGCCATAAACAGGGGCAAGGTGACCCCTGGTGACCCACACTTTCCCCTGTGGTCTGCTCCCCTCTGATGACTTGACATTCACAAAGAATGTGACCCTCCCAGGGGCCCATGGAGACCTGCTGGAAATGACCCTCCCTCTTCCAAGTTCACAAGCCCTTTAACTGTTTTGCTCCCACCAGGCCTCACTCTGCCTGATTTCAGCTTTGTCCATGTCAGTGTTTGTGGCTGGGAGTCCCTCCACTGAGCTGGGTGGACCCAGCACTTCCAAAGGGTACCAGGCCTGGGCTGGGCACTGGACAGCGAGCTCTCGCTGGTCCCGCTGTACCTCTAGAAGGCAGCTACTGTTCTGCCTAGTGACCCGATATCAGTGCTCAGAACAAGCCTGTGGGGGCCTCTGTTCCTGCACAATTATTAACAACTCCCTCTCTCACTCTCAAGGGTCCTGATTTTCAACTAGAAATGCAGTTAGGAACCTGGATCAAACCCTGCAACAGAAAAAGGACACTGATGGGCAAACTGATGAACTCCAAATAAAGCCTATGGTTAATAGTAACCAATGTTAGTTTCTCAGTCTTGACCAATCTCCAGCGGTCAGGCATGACGTTACCATTGGGAAGCAGGTGAAGGGTATACATGCGTGTCTTCACAGTCTTTGCAACTTTTCTGAGACTCTAAAATTTTATTTAAAGAAAAGTGTTTTGGTCCAGAAAATAAATGAGAAGATTATCCTAATTATCTTAGAGATGAGGAGGTGGAGGTTTCAGTGAAGTTTTCAGTGAAGTTATGTGCTGACTCCTGAGCTCAGCATCTCTGCCTCCCAAAGCTGCACACACCCTTCGAGTCATCCTCCCAAAGCCAAAGCCAGGTAGGGAAACTGAGGCTCGGGGTGATGAAGTGGTGACTTTGAGGGATGTGAACCCAGGTCTCTTTCTGCAAGTGTGACCTGCCTGTGCCTTGGGCCTCCCTGCACTGGGTACACAAGTGGTTTCTGCTTCCCCAAGAGTGCTGGGCATGTGGTAAGGGCTCAGGGAAGGAACAGGGCCCACCCTAGGTGGCCCTCCGGGGCCACAGAACCCTTGGGGAATCTGCTGATGAAGACGTCCACACGTCCACCTACCTGCATGAAGTATTGGGGTTGGATGCTGATGGAAGCCTGGCTCCCCCCCCCCGCCTCAGTTGGGTCCCATGCCCACCTCCTCCACCAACAGGCTCTGGAGCTCCCGCTGACAGTCCTGCATGCGCTGGCGGTCAGCACTGTCCACCACCCAGATGAGGCCGTCGGTGCTTTCGAAGTAGTTCCGCCAGTAGGACCGCAGGGACTTCTGGCCACCCACATCCCAAATGTTCAGCTTGAATCTGGGTAGGGAGGGGGGTGGTTGGACTGCCAGCCAGGCTCCTCACCCACCCTCCCTGCCCTGTTCTGGGCCAGCCCCAGGGCAGGTCCCTGCTCACCCTCGATGCTCCAGGGTTTTGATGTTGAAGCCTAGCGTCGGGGAGATGGTGTCAATGTCCTCCCCATTGAACTTCTTGAGGATGGTTGTTTTGCCAGCATTGTCCAGGCCACTAGGGGGCGCCAAGTTAAGGAGCAGCCCTGGCATTCTGAAGAGTGGTGACATCACCAAAGTGCCCCCCTTTAGGGGACTCCTCACCTTCCACCATGTAGCAAAGCAATGTGTGGAACCACATGTAAGTGTACAGTAGGACATGAATGTCTCATCCTGACCCTTAATTCTTCTCACAATATTATCGGAACACCTACTAAGTGCCAGGCCCTCTTCTGGTGCTGGGGATGAAGGGGTGGTGGAGACAAAGTCCCTGCCTTGCACAGGTGACACCGGAGTGGGGAGACAGTGCATACACATCAGGCCCGTTGAGTGTTAGAGCTCCCACACAGAGGCCGTGCTGGAGGCCGGCGGAGGGGCTTCCTCTCACTCGGCTGTCAGGGAAGGCCTCTCTGAGGGTCTTGAAGTGCGGTAAAAACTACAAGGAGCCAGCTCTCCAACGAACTGGGGGAGAGCGATCTAGCCAGAGGAAACAGCGAAAGCAAGTCACCCTCACCTGTTTCTGGAATATTCTAAACCCTTTGCTGCTGCATGAGTAAGCAGACAAATGGGCGAACCTGGGTTCTGTAACTGTCCACTTTCAGGTACCAAGTCCTGTTTGTGCGGGTGACTCCAACGGTTCATGTGCCACCCGCTGCCCCTGCGCACGGCCCCTAGATCCTGGGCCCCCCGGACATGCACCAGCTGACTCCGGCATCTCACGCGCCCCCACCGGCCCTCCCGCATCCTCTCTCAGCTCCGGCTCCCCGTCAGCTCAGCAAGTGGCCTCCTAGGCCTGTCTTTGCCTGGCCGCGCCCTCCGCTGAGACAGGTGCCCCAGGCCTCCAGCACCGGGGACCCAGCCGTCGCTTTCTCACGCGCGCTTCTCCACACGGACCACGCGCCTCGGCCGGTGTCTGCTGGCCCCTCTCCCGCCCGCACCGCACCAGTCCGCGGAGGTAGGCCTTGTTTTGCTGTTTCCCCCTCCCCCAGGACAGTGTCCAGCACGCGTAGGCGCTACGGAAACCCTGGAGGCGAGAACTGTTTTGAAAACATCGCTTTACGTGATTCGCGCGCATAAACGAGTGCTGGGCCGAGCCGGCGGGGCTCGGGAGGCCGAGGGCGCCCCGGATCGCGGTCGCCGAGGGGAGGGGGCGGAGGCGACCGACGCGCCCTCGCGGGATCGCGGGGTCGGCGGGGCCCCCGGGACGCGGCCTCGGGGCGGGGCCGGGCCCCTCTGACGGGGCGGGGTGGGGTCCGAGCCCGGGGGCAGCGCGGGCCAGACCCACGGCGGGGGGCGCCCAGCCCCCTCCGCGCCCCGCTCCGCCCGGGCCCCGCGCCTCAGACCCGCACCTCAGGCCGGCGAGCGGCCCCGCCCCCGCCCGCTCCCCCGCCCCCCCTCCGCGCCGCAGTGTCGGCGCCGCGCGTGACGCACGAAGGGCAGTTGGCGCAGGCCGCCCAGCAGGGGGCGCCTGGCGCCGCCCGTCCGCCGGGGCCCCGCTACCCGAGCGGCTGCGGTTCCGGGAGGATACAGCATGAGCAGGCGCAGCTCCCGCTCCTTCTGCTTCATCTTCTTCAGGATGGTCAGAAGCCCCATGGCCCCAGCAGCCCCCTCCCGGCCGCGCTTCTTCCTTGTCCCGGGACCCCCCCCGCTGCTCCTATTGGCTAGCGCGCCTGCCGACGGCGCCGCCTATTGGTCGGGCGCGCGGCTGGTCCCGCCCTCGCTTCCACGTGACTGCGCCGCGCCGGCGGGGCCGCGGGGGTCCCCCTAGCGGTGCCGGGGCCTCCTGCGGGGCCGCCCGCGCTAACCCAGCGCCGCCGTCCTGCCTCCCTGGACGCCGGGCTCGACCGGGAACGGACGCCTGGAGCTCCTGGCTGGCGTCCGGGCCGCACGGCGCGGGGCCGCGCGGGTGTTCGCCCCGAGCCCGTGCCCACGGCCCGGGGTGGCGCCTGGACGCCGGGACCACGGCCGCCCCGTTCGGCACCTCAACCCGCCCGTTCCAGGGCCTCCCCCTTTCCCTGCCCCGGGCGTCGGGGCGGTGGCTTTCCTGCCCGGGCAGCCGTGTCCAGGCGTGCGGGCGGTCACGGACCCGTCGGTGGCGCGGCGGCGCCCTGACCCGTGCGGAGAGGGCGGGGGCGGGGCCGGCCGGCGCGAGGGGCCGCCCGCTCGGGGCGCCGCGGGGTCTGTTCCCAGACGCACGATTCTTCCTCCCGCCCGGGGGAGGACTGAGGCTCGCCGGGCACCCGGGGCGGTGACTGGCTTAGTGAGTGTTGGTTGTCAAATGAAGGCCTTTACCCGAGAGTTTCGATGCCTTCCCTCAGCGCTGGCGTCAATAAAGATGAGGAAACTGAGGCCAGGTTGGCCTCTTGGCAGGGTGAGCGTTAGCGGCTTGATTTGAGCCCTTCCCCCAGCCTACCACCACCAGGTAGAGGTGACAGGCACTAAAGCCAGCAAAAGAACCAGCAGCACCAGCTGAGGATACCTGAGCGCTGTGTCATGGTTTGCAAAGCGCTCCACGCTTTCTGCCTCATCCTCCTGGGCAGCCAGGGGCGGCTTGCTTCCTTTTGGTCAGTGGGAGGAGTTCAGAGTTCAAGGAGCTTGCACATCAATTTAAATTCAGGTCTGTTGTCTGGTGAAGGATGGAATTGGACTTGTAGTGAGCTTATATATCCAGGTGTTGATTTACAATGATGCACCCCTGAAATGTATGTTATAATGCACTGTTGCTGCAATGAAAAATTATAAAAAAAATTTCATGTCTGGCGGACAGACAAGTGTGCTGTTTTTCTGGGTATCTCCATGGTGTTTGTGTAGAGGAGAAGTATTCTGTGAACTTGAGCCTCCCATTCTGCAGAAGAAGGCAGTGGGTGTGGCGGGGGAAGGTGGTGGATAGAACGGTTTGGACAGAACGGGGTGCGGAACTGGACCCCCTCAGTCAGTACCATTTGCCCTCCCCCAGTGTCGGGTGAATGAAATCAAATGAGGCTTCCCCCCCCCCCCCCCCGCCCCTTCCCGCTGCTAGCCTCCGTGGCAGTGTTACAGGGCAGCCCTGATATTGAACGGGTTCTTGGCTGTGGGTCCTCACCCGCGCTTACAAGGGACTTATGAATACTCCACTACAGACACACACAAAAGGTTAATAAAAGGTTTATTTACAAGGGAAAAGGAAATAAGGAAATGTACAACTCAGGGAGAAAATAGGGAAATAAAGTCTTTAATGCGTCCTACCCGATCCGCCGACCTGGAAACCCAAAGGCACTCTCCGAGCTGGCCGGACGCTGCGAGCTGGCGGAGAGTCAAAATGGGGGGCCCCCCCAAAGCCCACGTGTCTGGCTTTATCCCAACCTGGCTGCTGAACCCCACCCTCAGGTCCCAGCCACCTTCCCTTGGGTGGGGATGGGATTTGGAGTTCCCAGTGTCTTTGGCTTTGGCCTGGGGTGGGGGTGGAGTCCACAAAGCCTGTATGGAATTAGCTTTAGGACAGCCTTTTCCCCCTAACAGCAGGTCTTGAACTGCTCCTAAGCTGCGTGGATGCCTGGGGCCAAGGGGTGTGGGCGTGGGGCATGTGCACCTATTATTACAAACACCTGGGCCCGGAGAACATGGGCGTGCGCATGTGTAAGTGTGCACACCTGGGCCTAGAAGGTGAGGGGGTCAAAGGGTGGCATCTCTGAGGCGAGCACTACAACTGAAGAGAGACTTCACCTATGAGATGATGAGATGAGACAGAGGGAGAGTGCCAGAGAGAAGAAAGAACGCTAAGATCAAGGCGGACTGGGAAGCTCAGTTGCTTCCTGAGCCTGCCGACCCCCCTGCCTGCCTGGCCTTGCATGCCAGCCTCCCTGCCTTGCCAGCCTCCCCGCCTGCTGTGTCTGTGTACCTGGTTCCCTGCTTCAACATTAAAGGCCTGTAAAATCCCACCGAAGGCTCCCAGATTCCTTTACCTGTCTGCCGGAATCCGCAGTGGCCCTGCCCAGGGTCGGCTTGCCCTCGACCCAGGCACACATAAGAGAAGTTCCTGTTTGAAGATGTGGAGACCCAACTCAGCTCCCAGTATGAAATGCCCAGACCCCTGGAGCCTCCTTCCTGCCTCCCTGAGCCTCCGCTGGTGAAATTCTTGCCCCAGCACATAAACATGGACGTGGACAAGGCAGTTCACTGCCACATGGTTTGGAAGAAATCTGGGTGCCCCAGTAGGGGTTATCACCTGAGCTGGGGTTGTGCCACACGTGGCTGGTGCTTTCCATGAAGCCTAAGGAAGAGTGAGGTGGAACTGTAACATACCAGTGTGGAGAGATGGCCACGCTGTGAGCTGTGGATGCAGGGAAAAAGCCAAGTTTAAATCCCTCTTAAATTTAAAAAGTAACCCATTAAAAAGTGTTTTTCAAACTTCGATGCAACCCACTAAACAGATTGAGAAATTAGTGTCTCCAGTAAGTTGAGCCATATGAAACCACTGGTGTTTGTCCTTGTAGGGTAAGTATCAGGCTTTTCTGCCCTCCTGCCATTAGATAAAATGCATGCTTGATGGCGGACACCTGGAGTAGGGTGTGGGCATGTATAGGTGGGTGCACCTGGCCTGAGAGACAGGGCTTGTAAGAGCGGCGTCACGGGGACGCCAGCAGAGTGAAAGAAGCACGAGAAAGAAAACCAGCAGAGGAGTAGAGGCCTAGAGAAAATGCCAGAGAGCCCAGAAAGAGCTAAGACTTGCTGGGGGTTGGAAGACCTGCCAGCCTCCCAGTGCCCGTCCCCCCCCCCCCCCCCCACCTGCCATGTACCTGGTCAACTCAATAAAAAGCCTGCAAAAGCCATCGAGGGCTCCAGGACTCCTCCTTCACCCATCTGCTCGGGTCATAGAGATCCTGCTGCTCTGGCCCTTCCAGCCACTACAGTCCTTTTGACCACAGGGCTAGCGGCTTCACAGGCCTCACGCTTGTAGCAAAAACTGAACAGAAAAAAGAGAAGAAATTACTGCCTTTGTCCGGTAGTAAAGTGAGTAATGACCGAACAACATTTGTTTGGGTATTTCTGTGAATGTGTGTCTGTCTCCCTGGTTGACAACCACGAGAGTTTGAAAATCACTGTCATTCCACTGTGAAGTCTGGCCTGTAGCCCTGCGTCACGAGGAGCACTTCGGAATTGTGCTACTTTATCACGCGCTTTGAAATTCTTGTTTAAACGTCAGGTTCACAACCCTGTCCTGTCTGGGTAGTTGTAGTTCCCCAAGGGCCACATAGTAGAATTCCAATGAATATCAGTTGAAAATTGCAAAACTCTGTGAAATAGGAGATCAGCATGTAATTATGTGTAACTTCTAAATAATAATTGCCTGTAAGTAGAAATTGAGGTGGGAGGGCTTTTAAAGACAGCTGCTGCGGCCGAGTGACAAGCTGTATTTTCAATTGCCTCATGGAAAGGAGGAAAAAGTGCTCTCAGGGAAATAAGAGGAATATCCGAGGAAAGAAAACTGGGAAAAGTCTGTAGAGATGTGTATGTGAGAATTAGCTGTAACCAGGAGTACATGTCTTCACAAGAAAGAACCATGAAGTTAAAATGCCTAAATCCTGAGGGCTTGGAGGAGATCTTGGTGCTCAAAAGGGTGTTGTAATGTCGGGAGAGAATTCTGGGTGCCTTGGAAAAAAGCATGTTGACTAATGTGGGGGAGAAAGATTAGATTTATAGTTTTAAGACATACAGCTTTTTGATCTAGCCAGTCTGCTTCATATATCACTGTTACAATCCTGAGGACAACTAATGAGACTTTTTATTCCAGAACAATCACAGTAAAAGTCAGGGGAGAAGACCTGCTTAAATTA